AAGCCCCCAATAAAGGGCTTGCCTCTACCTCTACACACCCCATTTTCAAGATGGATTTCTTGCTTTCCTGGCCCCTGAACACTCTTGTTCCTGGGCACACATGCAGACAGGAGCCTCTGTTTGCTTGAATGGGCTGGTCAGAAAACCTCCCAGCTTGATCAGTGGGGGAGGCAGGGGTGGGTGGGTGGGAGACAACACAAACCGAGAATGCCCACCACTTACTACTGTGTCTTTTCTATGGAAAGCCTGAGAACTGCGGTCTTCTCTGCACGGCCCCCGGGTGGAAATGAGTCTCTGGTACTTGAATTTGAAAGAATCCAGGAAAGCAGCCAGCGGAGCTGCATGGAGCCCAGAGCTGCACGTGGGCAGCCCATGCCCCGTAGGGTTGCAAACGGCTCCCGGGCAGATAAACGATGCCTAGGCCCAGCCTCTTGACACCACCTTCCAGGAGGACCTCAGAGCTCCCAGGGAGTCAACTCTAACTCTACCAATGACAAAACTAAGATGCTGCAGGCAAGAGAGATCTTTCCTGCATCCCACAGTAAGTTAGCAACAATGTCAGAGCCCAGGCTCTTACCATGGGCCTCCCAGGCCAGCTTCCCTAACAACACACACACACACACACAGACACACACACACACACACACACACACACACACACACCACGCACACGCACACACGCACACACAAACACCCCAAGAAAATCCTGTTCCAGACCATGACCTTTTACCTGCAAACCAGAGATGACTCAGAGTCTGGGGTCTGACTGCTGTAGAACCAGACGAGAACATCCAGAGCACAATTCACGCCTGGGAAACAAGCACACAGCCCAGTGCCTGGGACCTAGCAAGGCAGCTCCCTAGAGACATAAAACTCCATATCTGATTTTCTCCTGGTTTTTTCAACGGAACCTTCCAGGGTACTGACTCTGCTGAGAACCAGGGGAAGAGAGCAGAAAGGCCCTTCCCTGTCTGGCCTGGTCCCATAGCACAGAACGTCTACAGGTGGGAGACGAGCAGAGCGGAGAGTGGGCTCTAGGGGAGAAGGAAGTAACTAGGGGTGAAGCGGCTGGTGCGGCACCCCCAGCAGACCACAGATGGCCTCATAGACCAGGTCATGCCAACTCTCGTCATGGCATCCACAGCCCATGATACTACTGGTCTAGGGGTGGGCCAAGCAGCTACCCAGGTTGTGGATGCTGTCCTCCACGTATCACATGATGACTTTCATCTTAATCAGAGTATCATGACTATACTTCACCAGACAGTGTCTCCCTTGGATGCCAGCCACACTGCCCTGTCCACGTGCCCATGTCCCAATCCAAACTGCACAGAGTCTCAAGAAATGCTAACGTAAATAGGAGGTGGAATGTCAACTGAACAGGGACTTCAGCTTCCATGAGCTGTCACTCAAGTGAGAGGGCAACTCTGTAGCCCACAGTCCTGTAAGTGACAGCTTACACTCCCCCTTCCCACCCACCCACCCGCCCCCCGCTTCTGTGAACAAGGCCAATAAAGTTACTGCCCCACCAAGCTCGATTTGGATGGAATCATTCCTTTGCTCTGCAGCGGCTGGTGTCCTATGTGGGTGTTTTGGTGAAGTCTTCTCAGGAAGAGTTAAACTAACACCAGGTCCCTGCTGCCACTACCAGGTCAGGAAGCTCTTGCCTTAGTCCACAAACTCACAGGAGGGTTTAGGAGGGACACAGTGGGGTGGCCGGATGGTGGATGGATTAGAGGAGGTAAAGCTAGACCAAAGCCTCAAAAGGTCACTGAGAAGCCCAAGCAAGCTCAGGAGAGCTGCATGTGGGCCCAGGTCAGTGACAATGGGGAAGTAATAGCATAGAAAAGCACAGATCCTTCTGGAACATGCAAACAATACCCTACAGAGGACAAACCAATCTAAGTGCAATTTATGGGTCAGCCTTCAAAGTCCAAATTCAAAGCCCCTCCTTGGACCGTCTCAGCCACCACCATTGAGGTTAACAACCTCTTACCCATGTGCTTATACCCATAAAATGCTCGCCCCAGCCTCACCTGGGTTCAAATACCAGTCAGATTCGCAAGTCACATGATCTTGAGGGGGTTCTGACTGAGGATGGGAATATCTGTCAGGGAGAGCAGCCATCAGGGCCCAGGCAGTGGCAATGATGCTGCCGAGTGCCCCTCAGAGAAGGGATGGGACAGACACCAGGCTCACCTAGCCCCTTCTCATAGCTGAATCTCAGCCAAGCTGCTCTAGAAAAACTGAGGTGAGAGATGACAGCACCAAGCCTTTAAGGTACCAGACAGCAGGAGAGGGCACCAGAACAGGGATGGCCTCCACACAATCGCATCAGGCCACTGAGCCCGTTAGCAGGCAGAAGTGAATTAGATTGTGACAGACCGATCGTTGCTTTTGCCTGTCAACACTAGCGGAAGTCTCTCCATCCAAATCATGAGCCCAGGAAGCAGTGCTGGTGCCTGAGATGGTGTCTGACTAGGGTCGGTGTGCCCGGCCCACACTTGCCAAGCAGAACAGAGAAAACCTGTGGACTGGGGGGTGGCGACAGGCTCCCGATCAACAAGCGCCTCCCAAGCCCGGACTCAGCAGCCTTGTTCAGAGTGGGTCACTCCACTGAAGCAAAAAAGAGAGGGCAACCAAGTGACACTGTCCTCAGGGTGCTGGAGGCCTCCAGGGGGCAGTCTGCAGAGAACTAAGGCCACCGCTACCCTCCGTGTCACCCGCTGCGGATCTGAGGACACGTGGGATCCGCAGGCCGAGGCTTCAGACACCCTCCCGTGTGTCATTTTCTTCTCCGCGAAAAGGTCAACAGCTTGAGCCACCCTCACTTCCTTGCAGGGACCCTGGTAAGGCTTTACGGGCAGTCTGTGCCAAGGGATGCCATGCTGTACCAGACAGCCTTGGTGACAAACACCTCAGCGGCCATCGCGTCAGGACAGCATCGTCTGCTCTGTGACTGATCATGGAGGAAAGGCCCCCAGAGGGAGGCTGGATTCTCCACCCAGCCCATCTGGCCTCCCTCCACCCCAGCGTTCCTCCGGGGAAGATTTTCCAATATCACAATCACAGCCTGGATTCTAGAACCTCACGGGCCTAGGTGGAATGCAAGGGCGGAAGGCAACAAGCTCCCGAATAAACGTTGGGGCACATGGGGAGAAGAATCAGCTAACTACAAGCTGTTCGCTGAAATGCAGCATCCAGGGCCTAATCTCAACGGCCTTCATTGCTGACCCCAGAACCACCTTGTGCCAGGAACAGAAGACTCCAAATAGGCCTGACGAACCTGACAGTAGCAGCTGCCTGTGCAAGGGTACCAGGAGCCTCCCTCCCTCTGATTACAGACCCCGAAGTCCCACTGTCTCCAACTATGAACCCCGAGCCACCATGGCTACCTTCACAGGGAGCAGTCACATGCTTCTACAGCAAACCCTGCCCCAGACTCTGCCTGCTGCCCCCGCCCACAGCCCACCTGAGCTCAGATGAGCAAGGCAATGAGACAGCCCCCATCTGCTCATCCAGACATATCTGGGCTCCTGACATCCACCAGCTGGCTCCGCAGATGCTCTGAGATCAATGTAGGATGCCTTCTGGACTTGAACCTTTAGCGGAGACTTTCTAAGTGCCACAGGAGCAAAAAGAGATAAATCTTCTAGGCTCCTATTACAGACAGAGAGATCAGAGAGAAAACCAACGATTCATGACCTGAACTCCATTCTCGCTCTATCTCAGCAACTGCACAGAACTCATGTCCACCCCAAGACACAGCGGGCTTTGCTTGTTCCTAACACCCCCCAAAACTGCAAATAACCCAAAGGTCCTTCGGCAGTTGACTGGAGAACAGAATGGTGGTATATCCACACAGTGGAACGGTGCCCAGCAGTCAACAGGAACTATAGCTACAGAAAAGACTGTTCAGAGGGAACTCGCTAACATCAAGTTGATCAAAAAGGGCCAGATTGAGAGGACACACTGTGCCATTCAACTTCAAGGCAGGTTCCAGAGGCAAACTGAACCTTTGGGGATTAAAAACAAAAGATCCGAATAAAGGTTACCTTGGTGGTAGGTAGGTGAGGTTACTGCCTGGGAAGGAGGATGAGGCAACCATGGAGGGATCTGGGAATCTATATGTAGGTAGCAATTACCTGGGTGTACCCACATCTAAAAGCATGTAGAGCTCACATTTAAAATTAGTCTTCATTATACATCTGTGCAATACATATGACATTTGAAGTCTGCCTCTTAATAACAAAGTCCATTGCTGTTCAAATTATAATTGATATTTGCCTGAAAGTGTGGTAGGTGACAATCTCGAGAGAGGAACCGAGACACCTAATTATGAAGTCCTAAACCTTCCAGACCCATCTCAAAGGGTCCCCACGCTGTGTAATCCTGTCCCTCAGCGTGACTTTGTCATGTGTCCCTTTACAATAACTGATCTCCACACTGGAAGCTGGTCCTGCAAGAAAAATTGGCTGCATCAAATAGCTTTGGCTAGTACATGCTCATTAAAATGCCTTGTGATTGCCCAAGGCACACAAGACCTGACAGCCCCAGCCTGATAGCAGCTCAGCAAAAGGTATGACTGCCCATCCCAGACCAGATCCTGGTTCTTCTCATCACAGCGACTCCAACCCTCCTGTCACGACACAAATCACAACCGCTAACTAAACAGTAGCAGAGCACAGAGTGCCCAGTGCCCACTCCCTGAGGCACCTGCTGGCTCCTTTTCAGGTCACCTCTGCAGACCCGCACTGTCCTTGCCAAACCTCAGCTGGAGAGGGCCACGTGAGCTCCCAGGAAACATTCTCTCGGGTGTAATGTTTAATCTAGACTCTTCCCCACCCCCAGCAGGGGCTACCTGCCCTGTTGGCAAAGGGACACCCACAATCCTCCTGCCCCCACCGCTGTCCAGACCTCCCAGCTGGATTCTTGCAGTTTCAACCTTGAACTCTCTACACACCCCAAGCCAGTAGGGGCAGTGGCTAAACCAACCTCACCTGTGCACAGGTCCCGGCGGGTGAAGAGGCCGGAAGTGGACGTATGTCTAGTTCTGCAAAGCCCCGTAGGAGAGAGAGGGCTGGAATCACACTTCTGCCCCCATGGAGCTTGAGAGCAATGACCTTTTGAGAGTTGAAGGGGTGGATTTTTTTTCTTTAGGGGTGTGTGTGTGTGTGTGTGTGTGTGTGTGTGTGTGTGTGTGTTTGCCAAGATTCCACACCCAATGCTTTCTTTTGAAAGATACTTCATATTCATAGGTGACAGAACCACAGAGTCCATGTCTGACACACGGGCCACCAAGAGTTTTTCCATCTTGTCAACTGCCTCAGGCAAGGGTTTTGGTCCCAGCTCCAGTTCAGACTGTGGGTTGAGTGGGCAAGGTCTCCTGATCCTCAGTTCACTGGGATCCACAGCGTGCCCCTGCCAACCAGAGGCCCTAGGGACGGACTATGCCCCTCACTCCAGGTCTCCAGACTCACAGGTACTTCAGAAAGTGTGAGCCAAGTCTGACACAGGCACACACCAGTGGCACTTTCTCCTGGCACTAACCTGGGCCACCGCCCCTGAGAGTCCACGTACAAACTTCTCTGAACTACCAGAGGCGGGAGGAGGGGGGTGAGGGTCCCCTACAGGGAATGGGGTGCACACGTGCGCGTGCACACACACGCATGCACACACTCACGCCCACGCACCGCCCCACCCCCTGAGCTCTGCAAGCCCGGCCCAGGCCAGCGACACCCGGCTCCGGGGCGTGCGAAGAACGCGGCGGGGCCCACGTTTGGTGGAGGTTGCCCCTCCGGGGAGGCCGGGGCCGCGGTACCTTGCAGGTTCTGCACACGGATGTCGCTGATCTGGCCGATGAGCTCCTCGCGCTGGAACCAGTCCCACT